TGTGGTACTGGGCGTGTGAAGTCAGAACTGGCTCCGTCGCCCAGATCACGGGTACTCATCGCGGGCTATCCATTCAAACCTTTCGGTATATAAGAGACATTTTATCTTGGAAATTAATGCAAGAACCATTTTTATTGGGTAAGTACAATATTATATAATATCAACAGTTAAGTATACCTAATTGTTTTGAAAAAGTGCCAAGTATAAAGAATAAACTGATCACGCCCATCTCGATTCGCTCAGCATTTATGTAAATTGATTAAGTTCACAAGTGGCCTGGGCGGGCTTGGTCAGTGCCTGAGCCCATTTTTGCGCGCGCAAAAATGGGCTCAGGCACTGACCAAGCCCGCCTCGCTTCGCTCGGCATTTAATTAAATTGATTAAGTTCACAAGTAGCCTTGGCGGGCTTGGTCAGTGCCTGAGCCCATTTTTGAGCGCGCAAAAATGGGCTCAGGCACTGACCAAGCCCGCCCCGCTTCGCTCGGCATTTAATTAAATTGATTAAGTTCACAAGTAGCCTTGGCGGGCTTGGTCAGTGCCTGAGCCCATTTTTGCGCGCGCAAAAATTGGCTCAGGCACTGACCAAGCCCGCCTCGCTTCGCTCGGCATTTAATTAAATTGATTAAGTTCACAAGTAGCCTAGGCGGGCTTGATCAGTGCCTGAGCCCATTTTTGCGCGCGCAAAAATGGGCTCAGGCACTGATCAAGCCCGCCTCGCTTCGCTCGGCATTTAATTAAATTGATTAAGTTGCCTAAGTCCATTTATGCGCTCGTAAACTAAATTTATTATTACTTTTAGGAGGCCCTGGGACAACTGTACAAATTGATGAGTCGGTCATAACGAAAAGAAAATACAACAGAGGGCGCGTGGTCCCCGAAAAATGGATTTTAGGGATTTATGATACCACGAACAATCTGGGATATATACAGCATGTTCAAAACCGTAGTGCCCAAGTGCTAATCCCAATTATCCAGAACCACGTGAGAGCCGGAAGTGAGATCTGGACCGACATGTGGAGAGGCTACAATAGTCTTCCACATCATGGATATATACACCGCACTGTTAACCATTCTCGATATTTTCGAGATCCAGTGACTGGTGTATGTACCAATCATGTGGAAGGCTATTGGAGCAAGCTCAAGCAATATTTACGGCGGTTGGGAGTAATTGGTTCTCCATTCTTATACGAATATATCGACCAATTTTTATGGAATGGTCTTTATGGGGGTACAGCAGTCAATCGCTTTAGTAATTTAATATTACATATATCCCAACGCTATCCGTAATTTTTTTAAATCTTTGTTTTTATTTTTTTTTCAATATTTTTATAATTTAAAATTTTAATGTTCATTCATTTATTAAAACATTATTTTTCCCCACTAGATAGTAACTACCATATTGTTAGGTTTGTTCCTACCGAATATTTTGACTATTAAATGAACGTCATGAATATGTACAATAATAAAATTGCGCAAACAATTTTAGTATTGAGAATGTTCCCTGACTTTCACTCGATAGTCAAAACACTCGGCAAGAGCAAGCCTATTTTAGACCGATGAGCCATAAAGCCTGATTTATAGATTGCCTTCCTTCCTTCCTTCCTCCCGTAGAAGTTGAAGAAAACAAAAACCTGTTGTTCCGTAGGGAAATCTATAAATGGCACTACGATTTTCGTATTGTTCATCTTCTACGAGAGGAAGGAAGGAAGGCAATCTATAATTCAGGCTTTAGTTATGACTCGTCGTTGCGATAGTAATCTTGTCCAGTATGTCAGGAATCTTCTCTAAAAATTTAATTTTGAACTTTAAACTGATTTTATAAACAGAATCACGCTCATAACGAGCGGACGGTGGCTCAAAACAATGTGACTTTAGTGGCGATCGACTTTCGCGTCGATCGTCACTGTAACCCTGTTTGTACAACTTGTTGTTTGTACCTTGGTTTTGTCTAGGCCCAAAACCATGTGACTTTAGTGGCGGTCTGTACTGTACAACTTGTACAATTGTACAGTTAACTGTTTGTACAATTTTTAATTAATATGAATGCATTTTAAAATTTAAATTTATAAACATATTTTTTAACTCTTGCATATTATTTAGATTATTTTGGTATTTTCGTATTAATTGTACCCACCTAACAACGGGAATAATAAACTCATTATTTACGTTGCTAGGCATCAATGATTGGCCAATTTCAATATTCACTGTGATTTAAACCAATCAGGATTTAAATTGTGAAAAGTGAGATTGTAACTGTCTAACAGATGTCAGATTTTTACATATATACAAAGGGTAACTATAATTATCTTTAAAATCGAGAGAAAGTGAGGTTAAAATTTATTTTTTTAATAATAAAAATTACTTAATTGGAGTAAAAAAAGCATAAATAGTATTAAACTTAAGAGATAATGCACAGATAATGTGCATATACCTATAGGTATAATATAATAGTATATTATATATAATATACTATTATACATAGTATTTATTAAATATTATACAGTAATGTGATTTGTTTGTATATGGTTTTTGTACTTATCTCTAATTTTTAAATGTGTTTTTTTATTTGGAAAAATAGGTAAACTACTAATTTGTATATACCACAGAGTAAAACAACATACCTATTAAGTTTCAATCAATCAGAATTGAAATTACAAAAGATAAAATATGAAAATAAATATTAGGCCCCTACATTAGACACTATTAATGTTATATTTAATTGTTATATTTGTTGCATAAGTAATTAAGAGTTTATTTTGTTGTTTCATCTATTAATTTAAAAAGTATGTACAATCTTTATATATTAAATTGTTATCTTAATAAATACATTTTAAAAATCTGTTTTATATTATTTTTTATTAACACAACATGTACTATGCTCCACACTTCAAAGTCCCACCACGTGACCACGTACGGAACGCAGTCTTTTGATAATTTGTCATTTAAGGCTTTTCAGGTTATGAATCTGTCAAAGTATAGTCAATGCAAGAAATAATATTTATACTGTTACCATTTATCTTTAAGCGTTAAAAGTTTATAAATCTTTATAGTATCACAGTAACAATGGTTGGTTTAATGAAATTCTAAAGTGTATAGTGCCAAATAAGAAAAATTTTTGTGCATTTGGTCTACATATATCTGGTTTTATCCATTAAATAGTTTAAACTAAACGGCATTTATTAAAAAAATTTAGCTTGTCTATTATGGAATAAGAATATCTATATCAAAGGTAGGTTAATATATTATAACAAAAAATATCATCTAATTTTGAAATTTTAAGGTTAGAAAAATATATTTTGATCAAAATAAATAAGTATTTTGGATTATTTGGAAGAGTGTGTTAATATGGTCATATAAATATAGATATATTAAATAATTGTTGAATATGGTTCAAATTAAATTAAAGCTTTTATACTCCTAACAACAAAACTTGTGCATACCTCTTGGGATCCCTACTTTAAGTTAGATTATAAGGAAACAAACAATTTTTAGAGATACATGCAATGTAAAAATATTTAATACTCCCATAACATGTGATTTTTTAAATTTTTAAAAGTTATAATGATTTTTCGATGAAGATAAAATTCAGTTGAAGCTTTATACGTAATTGTATTGACAAAACTTTATGTAGGTATACTTTAAGCTGGATAAGAAAGACTACTACAAGTAAAAATATTAGATAGAGTATACTGTGGTTTTATTTAAATTTTAGAATTTATGAGGTTATTTATACCTAATGATTGTTCGATGTAGATAAAATTTTGTCGAAGCTTTTATAGGTATTTGTATTGACACTATGGGTATATTAGCTGAGCTGAGTAAGGAACTATGTTATGGGAGTATTAAATATTTTTACATTGCATGTATCACTAAAAATTATTTGTTTCCTTATAATCTAACTTAAAGTAGGTATCCCGAGAGGTATGCACAAGTTTTTTTGTTAGGAGTATAAAAGCTTTAATTTAATTTGAACCATGTTCAACAATTATTTAGTATATCTATATTTATATGACCATATTAACACACTCTTCCAAATAATCCAAAATATTTATTTATTTTGTTCAAAATAGATTTTTCTAACCTTAAAATTTTAAAATTAGATGATATTTTTTGTTATAATATATTAACCTACCTTTGATACAGATATTCTTATTCCATAATAGAGAAGCTAGATTTTTTTAATAAATGCCGTTTAGTTAAAACTATTTTATGGATAAAACCAGATATAATATATTAACATATTATGTAGACCAAATGCACAAAAATTTTACTTATTTGGCACTATACACTTTAGAATTTCATTAAATGCAGTATTTATACTCCTAAACTCTTAAACCAACCATTGTTACTGTGATACTATAAAGATTTATAAACTTTTAACGCTTAAACATAAACGGTAACAGTATATATATTATTTCTTTCATTGACTATACTTTGACAGATACATAACCTGAAAAGCCTTAAATGACAAATTTTCAAAAGACTGCGTTCCGTACCTGGTCACGTGGTGGGACTTTGAAGTGTGGAGCATAGTACCTATAGAGAGTCCTTTAATTTATGGTATAATTCATATTTATAAATAATACCTATTTTAGAATGCAATCTGGGTTGCATACCGAATTTCCCTAAACAAGGTAAAAATATTACATCTGGCAACATTGCTTCGAATCTGACATTTTATGTCAAAAAAATTGTTAAAAATTACATTTTCAAACTTAATTTTCTCAAAAATTACTTAAAAACCCGCATTTTTTATTTTTGATATTGACTATTTAAAACACCCTTTTTTTAATGATGTCAATAAAAATTGGAAATTCGGAGTGAGTTAAAGTCGACCGGCCCCTAAAATTCTTTAAAAGTATTTAAAAAATAAGACAAATATTTTTAAACACAATTTTGGTTTTATTTTATTATTTATTAAGGTGGATACACCGTGTATGTATCTTGGGTAAAATCAGTTTGCAACACTAATTTTATGTTGGCAACATTGTGTTCTGATTCCGTTTTAAGTTAAAACATAAGTTTAACCATAGAAATGTATATGTATATTCAAGATATAATGAGCTGGCCAAATAGTTTTTAAATAAGCTAAAGGCCATCCCCCCTGAAGAAACGGAGACGTTTTTTCAGACCAAAGAAGAAGAAGAAGAAGAACCATAGAAAAAGGATAACCTCATTTTTTCATTAAGATTATATTCTTTTTCTAAGGTTAAAAATTTAAAAACAATAAGAAAATGACAATAGATCACAAAAGAATAAATGGCCCAGAAGAAACTATTCCTTATGAGTTATTTCAAAAATTAAATACCAAATCATTAACAACACAATTCAATGAATGTTCCAAAGATGGTATTAGAAAAGACAAAAGAAAAACTGATGAGCATAGAAAAATTTGTAAGTAAACTCCACTACTTAATAATTTTAGCTAAAATTATTTTGTATTTATAGTTATTACGACTGGGGTTGTAAGCCAAGCCAAAGGATCATCTTATATTGAATTGGGCAATACAAAAGTCATAGTTTCAGTTTTTGATCCCAGAGAAATTCCCAACAGAACAGATTATAGTTTAAAAGGAGAAATTGATTGTGAATTTAAATTTGCACCATTCAGCTGTCCCAAAAGAAAGCTTCAACAACAAGATTCTGAAGAAAAACATTATAGTGCAATAATGAAACAAGCTTTGGAATCTGCAGTTTGCAGACATGAATTTCCAAATTTCCAAGTTGATATTTATGCTTTAGTTTTACATAATGGAGGCTCTGCATTAAGTGCAGCTATTATAGCAGCAGGATTAGCTTTATCACATGCTGGAGTTCCAATGTATGATTTAATAACATCTGTAACTTTGGGGCTACAAAATGGTGAAAAACTTGTTGATCTTACTTTAGAAGAAGAGACTTTATGTTTATCACCAATTGCTGATAGCAAAAGTCATGGGATTGTTGTTTTGTCTCTACTTTCAACACATGAACAGGTTTCTCAGTTTTTTCAAACTGGTAATTTAACATTAGAAGATGTTGTAGAATGTACTCATCTGCTAACCAAGGCATGTAAGGATATTGTTCCACTTATACAAAAAACCTTAGCTAAACATGTTGTAAAAAATGTAAAAGAAAGTATTTAAAATTAAATATTAGTAGTACATTATAAGCCTTTAAATCGGAAAAAGTTGGTATTGAGACTTTTATACACTCTATGACTTGCCATGTCTTTAATATAAACAAAATATTTTAAATAAAATTTTTATGAGAAAATGTTTAAAATAAAAATTAAATGATTTGAGGGGGGAAATAAATAAATACCAAAATTATTTCTCATACTCTCATTGTTATAGGGAGGGCATGGGGTAACTTTAAAATTTCCAATGGAACACCCTATTTTTTATTGCAAATTCAGATCATTCAACTAAAAATAGGTAGATCTTTTCATATTTGTAAAAGATGGCGCTGTAGTAAAAAATCAATTTTGTTTGATTTCTCCTGTCATAATTTCTCCTCTGCAATAATTTTTCAATAAAAATATACAAGTTAAATCACTTTTATTGGTAATAATTATTTTATTAAATTAAATCTGATTTTTTTTAAAGTACGATTTTTTTTCTATTCCTATTGCATATTATAATTATTGACATTATTTGGGTTTTTTCGTAAATAATAGTAACCAATATAAGCGCCCGGCCTTACAACTTTAAACGTGGATTATCGCAACAACAATGCATCGATGAACTTAATTTGACTTTTGGCGATAAACCGCTATCAAAAACAAGTTTAAATCGGTGGGGTTCACTTGATGAGTAGTTCCCGTGAGAATACACGAATAATAGTAATATTATCAAAGAAAATAGAGAAATATCTGGACAAAGTGCAATTTTAAAATAATTATTAAACTTAATATTGAAGAAAGTGTTTTAATATGGATAATAGATGCTTTCAGTCCTTGATAACATATAGGGATGTAGTTTAAGCGTTGGTGTTTTAATTTAAACTTATAGTCTGACTGTCCAGAAAATATTTATAGGAAACAGAAGCGGTCTTAACGTTATAATATTGTCTATTCTTTTTGTGGCATTTAAACACTGTTTCCACAAATCAAACTTTTTCGGGAATCGATTAAATTTAATGTTTTTATTTAAAGGGTTTTTCTTGAACTGGTTGTCCGAATTGCATCCAAATATGCCACACCGCATTTTAATAAATGCAAATGGCACGACACAAACTAAAACACGAACAAAACAAGTTAACGCAACACAAAAACAATAATAAACAAACAGAACAGGTTAACACAACGCAATAATAATAATTTGAACACTGAAAAGTAATTCGAACCGAACACAAAAACAACAAGTTAAACAAAAAATAGAGCAAGTTAACATACAAAAGCATCACAAAAACAAGAATTTTAGCAGCAGATAATTAAAAACCACGTAAAAGATTTAAAAACACTCATCAAGTGACGTATTTAAGCCCCGCCCAACATGCGCACCATCCTTAAGGTGTATGTATCTTGGGTGTATGTATCTTGGTGGGACCAGTATATATAAATTTAATATTAAATGAACATTTGGCCGTCAGAAAAATTTGTTCCCGTTGGATCCCACATAATTTGACAATCGATCAAAAAAGGCTCGTGTCGAGTGGTCAAAAGAAATGCTTAAAAAATACGATGGCGGTGCGTCAAAACATGTTCATGACATCGTAAAGCTACATTCGTAATGAATTCGCTGGCCGAGTGGCAATTTGACTCACAAGCTAAGCAAATGTGTAACAGTGTGATCGTTCACAATGAAATTCGACGTTAAAGTGGAAGTTGAAGTGGGCAAAATTTCTTGCAAGCTGCAAACTTCGACTTCAACTTCGACTTTCGTGCCGGCTATGCGACATGCGCATTGCCTTTGTTATGAAGGTTTGACATTTTCAATGGCGTTGAGTTTTGTGTGTGTAGTGTTTTTAATGTGATTAAATACATTTTTCTTGCTTTATTTAAATAAACTACCCATTGTTAATGTAAATGTATGTATGTATGTAACTTAATGTATACTAGTTTTTTATTATTATTATTATTATTTATTATTATAAAGAGAACATTAGTGTTTTGTAACAAATTTTAATAAGAATGTATCACTAAATAAACTATTACACAACATAAGTAAACTATTTGATTGATTGTTGTCCATTTTTGCATTTAAAAAATAACACCAAGCAAAAACAAAATAATGCAAATTCTAACCTTACAAAGAACATGACAGTTACCAACGCCCATGCGTTAAATTCGACTCTAAAGTTATTGTGAATGGTAAATTTCGTGCCGACTTGCGTGCCAAAGTGTCACTCGGCCAGCGAATTCATTACGAATGTAGCTTAACAGGTGACGAATCATGGATCTATGCGTATCCCTATTAAAAATGCCCTATAGAACCCATATTGGTTCAGATAAGGAAACTAATATGGAATTATATGGTTCTATATGTCCTATATGGAAAGACCTGGTTTACACTTTGGAATCTATATGGTTTAATATGGAATTTCATTTTAAAATGTACAACTTAGGGATTTTTATATGGATTTATCTGGTTTCTGTTTTATGTGTCTTTCCATATAGGTTTCCCTATATGGTTAAATATGGATCTATATGGTAATAATTTTTTCACACCCAAACCATATTGGGCCAGATAGAGCAATATGAACCTATATGGCAATCCATATAGAAATCACTTTTCTATATGGTTTTCCAGGTATGGAATTCTATCTGGTTCAATAGTGCAATTCCTGTTTCAAATTCCTATATTGAACCAGATAGATTTTTATTTTGTGTTTCTATATGGCATTTTTAATAGGGATGAACATGGAGCCTACACAAGGAGTCCGAACTGCATGTAAACAAGAATCTTGCTAAGAAAAGTAGGCGCTGGTGTACCGTTTATTCTGAAACAATTGACTAATTCCCAGCCAACAAAGTCAAGGTAGTGCTACTAAGCAGAGGGTAGCGCTACCCTCTGCTACTAGTAGCACAATTTGTACCGAAACGCTACCAAAAGAGCAGATGTCAGTACGCATCAACAATCAGCGCCGCTGGTGGTGAAAAAAAAAAGACTTAATTTGTGCAATTTAGAGGGCAGGTTTTGTCAATTTTCCCTATTAAGTTCGGGCTCCTACACCACAGAAATAGAAGGTGGGGAGGATGCTAATTGCTGCAAACGAGAGTTTAAGCGCAAGCGCATTGCAATAAATATTTCAATTCAAACCAGAATGTATTCATACTTCCACTAAACTGATTAGCGTGCACTTTTTGACTTACCATTATTGTTACTAACGTACACTATTGAAGCGAGTGCGGACAAATAGATGTAAAACAATAGCTATTTTCGCGGAGCTAATCCCGAACTACTTCCGGACATCCTAGGCATGCGCTTTTTAAAATTTGGCGTTCAAATTGTAAAGTGCGCATGACAAATATTAAAATGCGCATGCCTAGAATGTCTGAACTAGTTCGGGATTAGCACCGCGAAAAGACCTAATATTATACTATTAAGGAAAGAAAACGGGTAGTTGTGATAGGTGACAAAACATCCACCTGCAAAAATGTTAGTCTTAGCGTTCCACAAGGATCCATATTGGGAGCTTTGTTTTTCATAGTATTTATGAACGATATTTCTTGCTTATCCTCTATAAATAACAAAATTGTCCTCTATGCAGATGACACTAACATAATTCTTAAGGAAAACAGCATTGACCCAGACCGCAAAATCACATTCCCTGCACATGTCAGGAATATTCCAATCGTCCCAGAATATTCCCAGGAATATTCCTGGCATAATCAAATGTCCGCTTTTTGGTTAACCCAGGCATCATAAAAAGAATATTCCATATATCTGCCTGCAGAAGACTCAAGGATTGTTAGGGGAATATTCCTTGATATAATTTGGGGATTATTCCCAGCCCTTATTGCCTCTTATACCCAGGAACTTAACTTAAGTATAGCCATTATTGAGTTACTGAGTAGATCAGTCCCACTCTAATCATTGTTTGGCTGTGCCATCACAGACGTACATCTCCACCCAGATAACAATTATGACATCATTTAAGACATCAACGTGAAATCATTGCTGATTCATTCAGTGATGTCACTGTGGCACGCATATGTGTTCCCCTTTTGATAGGCAACATGATATCCTTAATGAGTCACATGATGAATTCGTTGTGACATCAACGTGAAATCATTGCTGATTCATTCAGTGATGTCACTGTGTTGCACTTTTGATGAGCAATGTGAGATCCTTAATGAGTCACACGATGAATTCATTATGAAATCAAAGGGATGTCATTAATGATTTTACTTAAGGGACTAAAAACGTTAAAATTAATTAAAATACCTAAATATTTATTTTCTTAAATAATATATAAAATATTTAAAACAAGTTTTTATTAAAATTTTAAAAGTATCTTGCATCTGATTATTAATTTTTAATAAATAAAAAATGTATAAAATAAAAATAAATAAATAAAATAAACTTGATATGCTAATTATTAATAATTATATAATTATTAGCATATCGAGTTTATTTTATTTATTTATTTTTATTTTATACATTTTTTATTTAATAAAAATTAATAATCAGATGCAAGATACTTTTAAAATTTTAATGAAAACTTGTTTTAAATATTTTATATTTTATTTAAGAAAATAAATATTTAGGTATTTTAATTAATTTTAACGTTTTTAGTCCCTTAAGTAAAATCATTAATGACATCCCTTTGATTTCATAATGAATTATAATCACATGCAAGTTAATTTTTGGTACAGTAAGCGCATTCCTCAATTAATTGCTATCATTTAAAATTTCTTTATTTTTATTGAGCAATAACTTTCTGTAAGTTTGTTTTGCTCCCCTTAATAATTCGAAATATTATATCATTCGAGAAAACACTTTTTGTCCCTTGGCCTTTCTGGTACAGCTTTAGATCTAAAGCAGCTTCTGTAATAAAAAATGATCTGATTATATCGGCCGGGCCTCTTAATGCTAAAGCCGGATAACTCAACTTTCGTGATAAACAAAAAAGCCTTAACCAAGTATAATTCATAAATTAATTATAAAAATATATTTAAAAATACGATAACTTTTAAGCCTTGGTAAGATAAATCCATTT